TGATAAGCTGGGAAAGATTAAAGAAGGTCGAACTATAAAATTATAAAAAATCTTCAAAATTTTTTTTGGTAAAGTTTTGCTTCAAAGTAGTGTAATAGTGAAAACAAGGATTCTATTACGTTCATTGGCTTCAGCAAACAGAAGAGTTTTTCATTTTTTGGGTTTTCTTTATTTTATTTTATTTTATTTTATTTCACTTTACTTTTTTTTTTGTTTTGATTTGTTTTGTTTTGTTTTATTTTATATGCTGTTACCAGTTAAAAGTAGTTCGTCGGTTATAAAACGAAAACAACTCAATCTGGTTGTGTCTTATAACCGACTTCTGCTTTCTTTCAAACGCCTTAGAAAGAAAAGTTAAAAATGTTCAAGAAAGTAAGATACGAGGTAAACCAAAACCATGTACATTATAATGATCTATAAGAGTCGTCTTAAGCAAACGTTACCATGAAAAAATGCCCTTGCAAGTTTATGTCAGCTCCTCCCTCAACAAGTTTTTTTATAACAATGATGTCTCCTTTCCGACATGCTTCATGTAGCGGTGTATCGTCAAATAGGGAAGATATTTTTTGAGACGGCTAAAACAGAAAATATGCGGTTATTTTTTTTTAATTAATTTATTCTTCCAAATTTTTGGAAAGGGCTTCTTAAGCTCTGTCTTGTACGCTTGCTATGAGAGGCAATGGTAGACCACTGTTTACGGAAATGTTATGAGAGTTTGAAAATGTTTTATTACATTGATTAACCAAGTTGAACGAATTTTGTTGCTCAACCTACAAAATTGGAAAATTTCAAGCTTTATATTACAATTAGACTTTTTTTTAGAGTTTAACAATAACGAAGTAAACGTGGATAAAATGCTAGTTCATCAACAAAACTGAGAAATTTTTGAACCGAGTATGATTAAAAGTTTTTAGTAGATGAGCTATACAGTGCCTATGATATTTTTTAGTGGGAGCAAGTAAAGTTGTAAAGCTTAAAAACGACTAAATTTTTTTTTTTTTTGTCTGGAGCTAATTAAAATAGCAGATGAAGATCTTTAGTCACTTTTTCATATTTCTAAAAGCTGAAAAAGGAAATTAGAGATTTCTCTTTGTGCAGGAGTTCCTGTATAGCTTTTAAATTGTTAAACGGTTGAAAATTTTAAAATGCAGCAAAAGCTGGTAAAAATTGATTTAGAAAGCACTCAAAGCTGAAAGTTTTATACCGTAATAGTTTTATACTCTGAAGAGTTATAGAAAAAACGCTGAAAATGTATTAGCCATTTGGTTTTGACGACGCAGAAACAAATAAATCTTGTCAGGATTCTGTTGACTTTCTGCTGCTCCGGTTCTTGGTTTATTCAGTTTCGCTGTTATTTGCTGCCCGTAATTGAATCTGGTTTTCTCAGCGTTTAAGGAAGGTTAAAAAGCAAAAACCGTAGAGTATGTTTTGAAACTGCCGGTCAAGGTAGGGCAGAGTCGACAGATCAAGATGCAGAACAACTGTCTTAGTAATCTCATAGATTTTTATAAATTAACTTTGTTTTGAATATGTAGAGACAGTAAATTTTTGCGGATACCGTGTGGAAGACAAAAAGCGAAGTATAATAGTTAAGTGTCTGAAAGAATAACTCTGATAATAGGACTGCTGCGAAGGTTTACTCCCCCCTCCCCTCCGTTATCTAGCATACTTATTTGGTGTACGAAGCTGTTCTTATCAGCACTGTATTTTAGTTTACTGTGCAAAAATTCTGATCAATTAATGAAAGAACAAGCGCTGCTTTGTATGGAAATGTTTCAACCAGTTCATCCTTTGTAGAATTTGACAGTTTGTATGGTTTTTCAAGAACAGTTTTCTTTAACGTTTCCATTTTACCTTTCAATTCGTCGGTAACTCGACAATTCTTAAACAGTTGCATCAAGACTTGTGGAGTTGTGTACATCTGTAATCAGTTATTATATGAAACAATTTTAACAGCTTTGACGTTTACTATAGTAAACAAATTTTTGAATCATTTATTTGAATAAAAAAAAAGATATTTACCTTATTAAAGAATCCACTTGCTTCATCACTAAGTCGTTGCCTTCTTCTAATACCTTCAACAAAATCATTCACCAGCAGAACTATCGCATATACCTTCTCATTCTTATTCCGAATCTCAACAAGTTACTCTCTGGTAAAAACTTCTTCCTTACTGCGGATGGCATCTTCAAGCGTTTCAGAAAATGTTTTATCCATATAACACTTTTCAAACTGATCTTCGATTTCTGATAAAAAGACACACTCCACTGAAAAACATTTGAAAAAAATACAAAATTTGGTTTTTAAAGCTTTAGTGTTAAAAAACCTTAATTACATGTAAAAATTTGCATGAATTGAACTTTTACAATTCATACCCGTTTTTCTAAGTCAAAAAAACTGTAGCGGCCCACTAATAGATATGCAAAAACGTTCCTTAACCACTTTGTCGTCGATAATCGCACCGTCAATAAATACCATTTTCCAATATAGCAATTCCTCATTTAACTCTTAGAGATTTCATGAGAATTGCCGAATGTACGGAGCTAAACCTGACACTTAAAGCTTCAGTGTCAATCTTCTTAAACATTATTTGTAACTTACGATCTAAAGTACTTCTTCTGAAAAAAATTCTCCACACTGAGCATGCTTAAAGTCATTTTCTGCACTTTTTCAAATATTTTTTTTCCTAGTTGTCATACAGTTTTTAAAACATTCGCCCGCGCTCTTCAGAAGAACCCCAAATGCTTCAAAAATTGGGTGTCTAAAAGTGTTTTTAAGAGGGAGTCCACATTACCATAAGACAAAGAGCTTCTCAAAATGCTAGTGAAAGTAGCGAATCGCCTGTATAGTGCTAACGTGGTTTGTTCTAAAGATAAAAAATTTTTATTACTGATATGTTTAAAAGTAGCGTGCTTATCAGAAAATATTTTTTGAAAAAGACTGCCACTGGTATGATACTAGTTAAAACTTTCTTATTTGAGCTCACCGTTTTTTAAGAAGTGAATAATACCTGTGCAAAAAAGCGCTTGAAAGTAGAGTTCGTTATCGATATCCTGCAAAAATGAAAAAAAAAAGGTTCTTGACGACAACGAAAACTTTTGCAAGTGTCTTAGCTCCTGCCAAAAAATTTGTGATTTTATCTTATTCAATTAAGCTACAGTGGTATGCTCTTTTTAAACTTGAAGCTGCATAAATTCTTGCCTCAAAAATAGAGAAAGGTCTTTTTTTTCAGATCTATCTGACGAAAATATAAAGAATTACAACAGCAGAAACTTTGTTATGAAGATAGAGCTTTAAAGAGGTTGGATGACTTTGCTTTAAGCCCATCCATAAATTCGTGTCCTTTTAGTGCCGTCAGATTTTTGTAAAATATCGACTTCATTTCTTCTATCGTCTCGTGGTTCATAAATGCTAAATTACGAAACGATTTAAGAACTGAAAACAAGTTTGAGTACTTAAGCATTACAAGAAAGATACATAACGGTTGCATCCGAAAAGGACTAAAAAACTAAAACATTTCTTTTTACAGCTGTTCACACTTAATGTACTATAAATAGGTTGGGCGTACTGGTCTCTGTGATGAAATTTGTCGTGATTTTGAACTGTTCATCGATAACTGCCGTCATATTCTCGACCAGCTTAACCAAGCCCTCCTCGGAAGCTTTTGGATTTTCCGAAATTGTACCAAAAAGAAGCTTGATAAGTTCTTGCATTATCTAAAAACTCGGAAATTGATTTATGCCAATACTGAGCTCCACATCGATAATAAGTATCAAAATAATCGTTAGAAATGCTGTTCAAAATTACTATTAAAATTACAGAGGTACGTTTGTGTATCTAAGAAAGTTCGTTTGCTTCTTTATCAGTAAACCTCTTAGTAACCAGAAGTAGAAATTCAACAGTCAGCTTCCACAGGTGATGATCTTGTTGATCTACCACTTCAAGCTGGATCTGCTCCGCTAAATCTCAGTGGTTGTTTCACAGACCGTCAATTAAAAATATTGAGAACTTTCATGTATACAATCGTTCCTGAAAACTTGGTTTTCAAACGAAGTAAGTGCTATTGTTCAATGGGGTATTTTCACTCTTCTTTTTTTAATTCTTATTCAGTGCTTGTCTAGTTACTCTCCTTCTGACGTTTAAGCACTGGCGCTGTATTTTAATTCATTCTATCAAATAGTAAATTTTGTCATTCTTTTAGAGATGAACCAAGAAGCCGTTAAATGCTGCGAAGAGTTCATCTTTCTTGCTGCGTTTCCAGACTAATCCCCCACGCTACGACAGCTGAAGTACCAGGGCAAAACGAAATGCACCATCGTTTTTGCAACCAACTAGTAAACCGCTATACAGCTTTCTTGCGATAAAACATCAAAGCCCCTGGTTGCAACGACAAGAAAGTTCTGTTTACTGAAGTACGCCGACACTGTGCCATGATTTTTCAGGGCATTTTCTGGAAGAATTCTTTGCCATTCAGTGCTTAAAAATGTAATTGGAAAAGACTTAGTTTTTTGAAAAATTATAACAACAGAAGACCAGAGAATTTGTTTCTTAAAATGATAAAGAAAGTTGATAACTATCATTGAAGTGACGGTCTGAGGTGGCTCATTAGTATGTTGCATTATTTCCTTTTTTCGGAACTTTCAGATGTAAAATTGCTTCTAAAAAGTGACCAACTTCCTTGAATTCTCTTTTAACCGTGCTTCCTCACGTTCTCCGAATACCTTGCACCTCAAAACCCCTATTGGAAATTTCGCTTCAAACAATATTAAACTTTAAGCTTTAACTAATGACGTCGACAGTACTGTGTACAGCACTTGATGTTATGATAAAACTAATTTTCCCTATGCTTCTTGTTCTAGAGCATTTCCGGTAAGATAATTACTGAAGCCGAGAAGATGTTCACGGCTTCAAAATCGAAGTTCTGAAGACTGTTCTACAGTACCGCGCACCTCAATTTCAGTTCGCTCAAAACCTAGAAATAGATTATTGAAGTATCCATAGTATTCATTAATCTTGAAGAATTAACTCACCTGCACTGCTATTCATAACCACAACCGTAATTAGTACTGCTCCAATCAACGGTAAAGATTTCGTTGCTGTTGTAGGTCCAAAAAAAAAAAAACAAAATTGGCAAAAGTTTTTTTATTATGAATTCTACGAGCGAAGTTAAGCGTTTTAAAATGAGTTTTGGGTTCGGCTAAATGCTTTTGAGATAAGGTCTAAAATTTTTAAATTAAACATTGAAAATCTGTGTTTTTATAGAAATTTTTTTATAAACTACAGTAAGCTTCCTTAAAAATTATTAGTCAGATTAGGAAGAAGACGACTGTCAATAAACCTCATCGAGTGATTTATTAGTAGGTTGCGAGCTCAGAGCTGATTACAAAACTGCTAAATTACAAATAGAAAACAACGATGTTTTGATTTTGATGTCATAAAGAAAAAAAGAGATTTGAAAAGATAATGATTTAATAAAACGCCAAAAGTATGACTGACCTATGAATTATATGTTTCGGTAACCCTCGACTATTCAATTTTAAAAATTAAAATCAGAAATTAAGCAAAAACGAAAAGAGCAGATAGCTGACAAAACAAAGAATTATGTCTTTTTCTCAAATGAAAAAGAGAGAGTTTCTAAAGCTATTCAAAAGGTTCGAAGGCTACAAACCAATTTTTACGCTGTTTTTTTGGATAAAGTCTATTGTTTAGCTACCAGTTACTGTTTTTGAAAATGTTACACAAAATTACAAGAACCTTGAAAAGTATGAAAAAGTTTTTTCAAACAAATCTTGGATGACGAATTTCAATGCCTCATCTTCTTCTCTCTAAATTCCTTTCTTCCAGAAACTTTGAAATTCACAAAATTTGAGAAAACTAACCGTGTACCGGTAATCATTCAGAAATAGCGTAAGAGATCATCAATCTCGATTTAAAAGTATTTTCTATACAAATATTTCTTGAAGAAATTAATTACATTTGTCATTGTACATTTTTTGTAATTGCCCATTCAGAATGAATGATATCTATATGTTTTATGAACTGTGTACTTTACTCAACGTAAGTGACGTTAATCGTACTGGTGGTGTTTTCCCAAAAAAATTCGCTTAAATTTATTAAGGAAAAGTTTTTTAGACTTTTCTTCTGCTATAACGTTACTCATGGAAATTTCGTGATGATTTTTTGTTTTTAATCAATAGAGTTGAGTGCTGCATAAATAAATCTTGTTATGAGACTCTTTAAAAATCCGTTGTAAATTATTTCTTCTTCCACCAGTCGCGCTTCAAAAAAATAAAAAGTCGCCATTGATATATACAAAGTTTCAGGTTGAATTTGCTAAATATTTTTAAATGTTATTTTCTTTGAGGGCCTTAACTGCATTCACTAACATTTTTTTACTTACCTACAAAGAAAGTTATTAAAGCATAGATTGTAAATTACTAGTTGCTGAAATAATCATATGTACTTATTAATCTAGAAATGTGCAAAATCCGGATAAACTACGACCCAAATGAATTTACGAATTATAAGAATTACACCATTTTGATGGTCTGTATTTGATAATGCAATGGAAATTGATGTATTTTAATTTCTTTACTTTTCATGCCATATTACCAGTTATCACTTGTTTGTTTTTGTCTTCAATTTTCACAGTCGAGGAAACATTCCTCAAATAACTTTACTTTTCAACAGCATAAAATAAAAAGAGACCTAAAAAATGCAGCAGAAAACAAGTTATTTTCACTACAATTCTAATTACTTAGAGAAAGAATTAGAGAGATATGGTAGGGATATTGCCCGATCAATTGTTTCCTTGCTGTAGCAGAAAGATTGCTGAACTCTTTGGCAAAATCCTCCGCAAAATGTTTCATCCTGAGTATAGCTCCGTTAGAAACTTCAATTGACACTATATGAGGAGTAGTAACCATCTAAAAAAGGACTGCTTTAAATGAAGAAAGTGAACTAATAAAAAGTCTGTACTATCGCAGCAACAATGCAGGAAAAGTACTCTACGGATATGAATGCCATGGACAAATAATATCAGCGCTATATACTTGAATGATAAAGGTATAAAGTCGACGATATGCAGTAACAGTATCAATGATGATTACAATAGGTTTAATTAACTGCCAAAAAGAGGTGCACAGAATAAAAATTGACTATTATTGAGCTTAGAACAATAAATATAGCGCTGAAGAAAAGTGTTAAAAGAGTGGAATTTGTAACCAGAAACTAAAATTGAGTGTTAATGTCAGGAAAATATTCACAGTTAACAGTGACCAATTAAAACTTATCCAAAAACGATTAATTTACTTTGAAGAGTGGGAACAAAGACAGTTAATCTCATAAAGATAACTCGAGTGATAAGAAAGTATGAATTTTATAAGTGCTACGTTTTTATCCGATTGTTTCTACAGAAACTAATTTAAGTTTTGAATAATATTTTCATATATGTTACAGACCAACACTAGTGTATTGATAAATGCAAACAATAGCGTAAACAAAACCTTGGAAACTATAAAAATAACAGCTTTTAAAAGTTGTAGGTCTTATAATGGAAAATATTGTCAATCAGAAAGTGTAATTACGCTCTATCCAACTGTCGAAATGAACTGAGAATGAGGGAAAAGTGCTTCTTTTGCAAAAGAAAAACAAAAAAAAAAGAACGATGACTTTGCCTTATAACAAACGTTGTTCTCAATCGCTTTCTTTGGGAAAAAAAATCTTTTTTTCTGATGTTAAAACTGCACCAACTTTTGAAAAGAAAGCAATATTATTTTGCTGTTTTCTTGTGTAAGTAAAATTTAGGAAAAATTAAGATTTTTTTTTTAGTGTTTGATAGTTCATACGCTTTATCGTCCAATCACTTGTTTTGGACGCATTGAACTTAGTAACAAGTTATTTCCTATCAAAAAAAAAAACCGTAGTTTAATTTTCTGCTAATTTCTCTTAAAATAATGCCGTGGACATAAGAAACAAAAAATTGTTTTGCTTACATTGTTTTGAGCGTTAATGGACAAGAAGAAAACTAATGAAAAAAGTAACTTGAAAAGCAGTTGGAACAAGGATAAATAACAGAATTTATCGCGATAACAGCTGCTTCAGTAAACCCCTTCAAAGCTACAACTTTAGTAAACAATACGGCGTTCACAAATTTTGACAAAAAATTTATATTAATACAAATTACATACTTTTTCTGCTTTTATAGAATTTCAGATTTTGTTTTAAAAATTTTTTTGATTATTTATATGTTAAATTTTTGCTTAAACCAACCTTTTTGAAAAAAGTTTTTGCTTCGGTATCCAACTCTGCGCATTTTTGTATCTTTTCGACATTATCGTTGATTAAATAGATAAATGCATAAATTTTCTCGCTTTTCTCACGAATTTCATTTAGCTGTTCACTGGTGAGCGTAACTACGTTACTTTCCTGAACAGTTTTTAATATTCTACGATCGTTAGCGTCCAAAAAACACTTATCATATTCTTCTCCATTAAATTTTCGGTCAGCGTAAGTAGCTGAAAAAATGGCGGTTATTGTGTTTTTCCTACAACAGTTATGACTCTCTATCAACTTCATTAAGTCTTACAGAATTTCTGGAGGAAAACACTAGTATTTGGAATTGCCAAGCCTGGTTGACAAAAATGCTTCTCAAGTGTAGGCACGTCAACAGTTGCGCCGTCTGCAAACGCTGCTTTCAAAAATATAGCCATGGCTTGCGTACCCTACAACAAATAATTACCCTATTAATGCTTTTACAATTTTTTGTCACAGAATCATCACATCTCGCAAGGGTCTTAACTTCGACTCAAGAATTATAAAATGGCTTTACTTGTTCTATTGTATCTTCTTTTTGTTCCTCTTCGACACATTTAATAACGTTTTTTACAAGAATTCCAATGGCTTCAAGATCTGGATGTCTAGCCAAAGCGTTAAAAAACGATGTTTTGTTATCGTAAGTGGCCGGGCTCTTCAAGATGTTGCTGAGAATAGCGATTTCCTTGTACAGCGCAATTGCTGTCTCCTCTTTTAATTGAAGGGTTATTAGCACCTTCCAATTTGACAGAACTTTTAATTTTTAATGCAATATATTTCTTTCTTTTGTGCGCAAAAATATTTGTCGTTTTTTTTTTTTTTTCAAGAATGACTTGTATACAAATTCATATAAAGTGTAAAGAATTCCATATTTTTGCACAACAACTAGTTATTGCTTTTTACTGAGACCATACTGATTTCCCTTATACTTCAATCAAAACTTACCATTTTTTAAAAGTTGGATCAGATCGCGGAGAAATGTTCGTAAAAAATACCTTTGTAAGTCATCTTTTTTTGATTTGTCACCCTGGAACAACACTTCAGAACTTACTTTGTCGGTCCTATAAATTCTATAAACATATAAAAACATATAAAAAACAGTTGAAAGGTTTTAAATAATAATGGATACCCCTAACGCTGCCTTTACTTTCTGTATTTCTGCATGAAACAGCGGTTCTGTTGCATTCAGTCTCTGCATGAAAATAGAGCTGTTAATAGGCGATTCACCTACTATTTCTTTTAACTGATTTATTCGTGATACATTCAATCCACCTTTATCCTTCAGGACGTATCCTTTGGAAATAACATGTTTATCCGTTTGTCAACAAGCAAACAGTGAAATAGAATTTTTACGTGTAATTATTACAGAACAGAAAACCAGTGAATTTCGTTAAAAATGAAAGCGTACTTTAACAATAAAAGACTATATCAGAAAAGAACTTCTTAATCCAGTGAAAATCGGGAAAAACGTACAAAAAAATGTTTTGTAGATAGCAGTCATACGTTGTTTTTTCAAAAAAATGAATAAATAATTGTTTTACCACTGAAGTATTCCATAATTTGAAAACATAGTTCTTCATGGGCTTTAACGAAACCTGACATCTCCTGTGCCAATTTTACAGCTTCACTTTCATTTAAATAACCACCTTTCCTGATCACAACATCAATATGCCCCAGCATTTTTTCAAAGAACTGAAACATCACAAATCTTATTATATAATGGTTCTAAATAAATTTATTTTTTTTCACGGAACTAAAAAAGAAAAAGAAAACATATAATCACCAATATTCCATCTGGTCCAAAGTTTAAAGTTGGAAGGAACAACAGACCATAACCTTCTATAGCTCCCGGTTCTCTGATCTCTTTCACCATCTCAATTGTATCCGTAATTTCTTCCACAACTTCACCGCATTCTTGATCTAAATGCGAGATACTGAAATATATGTACCAAAGTTTATACGTTTATGCTACTGACAATAATAGACTGACCATAATCTGATACTGCTACAGCTGCCAGAAGAAAAACTATACCAAGCGTTAGAGGTTTCATTACAGTACGTAGAGTAGACTTCCTAAAAAGACTGCAAGTAAAAAAAAATTAATTTTTAATTGACTAAAAATTTGTTAATCATTTCACTTTCAAAAAAAAAAGCAATTGTATTCTTCCAGGATTAAAACTATTAAAGAACATTAAGGTGAAGAAGTGGAAGGCAGTTGATAAAACACAGGAATCAAAATGCTTTTTATAACAGTAAGAAAGCAGACTGACAGATCCCTGAAATTATTTAAATAACCATGAAGTTTCAAATAAATAAAGTAGGCTATTTTTTTTTTTTTTTTTTTTTTTTTTTTTTTTT